TGTATTGTTGTGTTGTGTGTTGAGGCCTTGACCTGTGTAAGCCGCATCGAATCCTTCGGGAGATGCTAGCGGGGTACAAATAAATAATAATAATAATAATACAAAGCGTATGGTTGCAGGCTGTTAAATAACTTATAGAACTTTGAATGTCACTTTGTTTTAATATAGTCCACTCTTTCAAATAACACAGCTCGTGGCCAACTTTTACTGAGGTGAAGCTCTTTAGTGAACAATGTTTCCCACTATAACTAGCCTTCCAATTTGATCTTTCCTTGATCAAATCTCTGATCTCTAGTCCTTCCCTGACTAGGGATCCTAACAGGTTTCCTTTAGTCTTCCTTGACTAAAGAAACTGGCCAGGTTTCTCTCTTCAGCCCTTCTAGACTGAAAAACCTCCCACTGCTCACACACACGTCTCTCCCAGGCTTTTCAAGCCTCCACACTCTCACACACCCACTGGCCCTTTTTCCAAAGACGCCTATATATTTTCAGCTTGGCTCCGCCCACTTCTCACTCTCCTGAGCTAGCCTGCCTGGTCTCCCTGGCAACGCTCACTGTGGATTCAAACCAGATAACTCTAGTTTTAGCTACTGTTACAAACACAAATATATACTCTAACGGTTAAACACATACATAGTATCAATGACTTCTGCACAGAATGGAAAAGAAATTTCCAATTTTTTTTTTAAGTAATGGGTAGAAAGTTAAGGGGGGAAAAACTAGGGGACTGGATAAAAGTTGGAATAAAGAAGGAAATTATTATGGAAGAATTTAGAGACATAAAATGGCTGTCTGTGGCTGTCTGGATGAGGACGAACAAGCTGAAGATCAGTCCAGACAAGACAAAGGTCCTCTTGGTCGATTGTAAACCGGACCGGGGTATAGGGTGGCAATCTGTGCTGGACGGGGTTGCACTCCCCCTGAAGTCACCGGTCTGCAGTTTGGGGGTCCTCCTGGATTCTTCACTTACGTTTGAGGCTCAAGCATCGGTGGTGGCTGGAAGGGTCTTTGCAGTTCGATCTTTAAATCCTCATATCGTGTCAGCTTTTCCAGTTGTTTCTTGTTAATCCAGCTATCGCCTGGGATTGCAACATCGACAATCCATATTTTGTTTTTTAACATGATCGTGAGATCAGGAGTGTTATGCTCCAAAACTCTGTATGTCTGACTCCGGAAGTCCTAGAGCAGTGGTTCTCAACCTGGGGTCCCCAGGTGTTTTTGGCCTTCAACTCCCAGAAATCCTAACAGCTGGTGAACTGGCTAGGATTTCTGGGAGTTGTAGGCCAACAACATCTGGGGACCCCAGGTTGAGAACCACTGTCCTAGAGTATCTTGACATGTTCATTCTTCGTAACTTTTTCCGGCTTGTGATCCCACCAGTTCTTTGTTGCAGGCAGATGGTATTTGTGGCACAAGTTCCAATTAATCATCTGAGCAACGGTGTTATGCCTCTGCTTGTAGTCTGTCTGCGTGATCTTCTTGCAGCAACTGAGGATGTGATCTATTGTTTCATCTGCTTCCTTGCAGAGTCTACATTTGGGATTTGTCGTTGACTTTTCAATTCTGGCTTTGATGGCATTGGTTCGAAAGCTTGTTCTTGGGCTGCCAGAATCAGGCCCTCATTTGTCTCCTTTTTCAGAGTCCCTTTTGTGAGCCACAGCCATGTTTTTTTCTTTGTCAATTTGGCTCTTAATTTTTGTCATGGACTGTGCATGGAGAGCCTTCTTTCGCCAGTTTTCACTTCTGCTCTGGATTGTGTTATTACAGTATTCACTCTTTGTCTTTTCCACTTTAAGCAGTTTACTACTATTGACTTCTCTCAATGTTGTTGTTGTTGTTGTTGTTGTTATTATTATTATTATTGTATGGAACTGCAGTCTCGATTAAGATCATTTCGGGGCTTAAAAAAAAGATCCCTGGGCTGTCGCATGCGACCTGCTTCAGTCCCAGCACTTTATATTTATCTGCTAATGGCATGTATTATCTTTCTATCTCTTTTCCCATTTAGAAAGACTGTTGCCTAACAAAACAGAGGTCCCCTTTCACGAATCGGTCCTCAGTGCAGAAGCATTCTTCATAGATTCTGGATTCCCGGAGCAGCTGTCCTCTTCGGATTGCAGAGCAGAAGCGCAAGGTGAAAAAACAGGGTTGAAAAGCAGAAAAACACTTGGTTCTAAATGGTGGAGTTAGGAAAATATCTAGGACAGGCTTAGGAGCAGGGTATGGGGCTCAGCAGTTGAACAAATCTGTTAGCCTTTTCCACCGTGTGGGATTGACGTGAAGATAAAACGCCATTCTGAACTCTTTGAAGGAAGAACAGACCATAAATGTTGTAATATTGAGAGTTGACTTTTTCTCCTGTTGTGTTCCCTGGTTATATATGTCTGAAAAAACTTGCCTTGATAGAGGTTATTTCCCCTAAAGGAAAAGGAAACATAGATTTGGCAAGGCCCATCTGTGCCCTCCCTGCCATGCAGGAATATACAACTAAAATACTTTTTAGATATGGCCCCTGGTGTTCCAAAGTCGGGGGGCAACCACAGAGAAGGCCCTGTCCCTCGTCCCCACCAAACGCACCTGCGACGCAGGTGGGATTGCGAGCATTATCACAATCATATAGTCCAGTTAGACATCCAAAGTGCTGTCATACCTGATGGCCAAAAGCCTGGTTCCAAAACCATGATTTTAGTTTCTTCCTAAAGGAAAGGAGGGATGAAGCCAATCCAATCTCGCTGGGGAGTGAATTCCATAGGCGGGGGGTCACCACCGAGAAGGCCCTGACCCTCGTCCCCACCAGACGCATTTGCGAAGCTGGTGGGACCAAGAGCAGGGCCTCCCCAGTCAATCTTAAACTACATACATTTTCTAGAACTTTATGTCTTGATTTGATCCAAGCCATGATAGAAAGTATGGAGGTGAGAGGACTTTTCTGTTGTGGCACCACTTTTTTGTGGAAGTCTCCTGCTATGGAGCCTTATTTGCTCGATCCTGCCAGTTTTAGACAAAACTAATAAAGATCTTGAAAGGTCTTTCTCGTTGCTTGGTGACTATTGCTTGGTAGAGTGATATAGTGTGCTTTCATTGTTCCAAGAAATTGATTTTAAAGCCAACATCTCACGTATGCAAACATATCGCCTCAATGTGAGCTGTCCTGATGCTGAGCAAATATAACATAATTATCTTCTATTTGCTTGGCATCAGGACAGCTCACATTGAGGCTACATGTTCATACGGCTGAGATATTGGCTTTAAAATCAATTTCTTAGAACAGATCTAAATTTTCTGAGGCAGCAGAGAATGTAGGCAGCATGGGCTGATGAAGGAAACTGATACTTTTGCATTAAAGGTCCCTCCTGAAGAAATCAACAGTCCAGGTACTTTTTCTCCCTAGGGCACAAAACATGGAGAGGACAATCACCTTCCCGCCTCCGCCGTTCATTATCCCGTCACCAGAGCCAGATGAGAACCAGCAGCCCAAAAAGGAAAGGGCGTTCCCCTTCCCGAAAGCATCAGTCGCCATCTCGTCGGCGTAGTTGGACCCGGAGCAGTGCTGCTCAACAGCTGAAGATCCCTGTACTTCAGGAAGGGATGGATAGCCAGACCAAAACCAGTAGTCCCAAACAGAGAGGGCGCTCTCCTTCCCGCAAGTGTCGTTCATCATCCCATCTCAGTCGATCTCGGAGCAGCGTTACTCAATAGTTGGAAATTTCTGTACTTCTAGAGAAGGTGAGTTCATTCACATGTGCTGAAGGATTGCATAAAAACTGCAGCAATAGTGCGGAGAGTTAAGCTGAAGGTGTTGGGGGGGGGGCAACTAGGCTCAGAGGATACACACAAAACTAAAAATATGAAAGATGCTCCAAGGACACAATGGAGCCCCTGGTGGCGCAGTGGATTAAACAGCTGAGCTGCTGAACTTGCTAACCAAAAGGTCACAGGTTCAAATCCGGAGAGTGGCATGAGCTCCCACTGTTATCCCCAGCTTCTGCCAAATGTGAGTAGATAAATAGGTACCACTCTGGCAGGAAGGTAACGGCGCTCCATGCAGTCATGCCCACCTCATGACCTAAGAGCCGTCTACGGACAACGCCAGCTCTTTGGCTTAGAAATGGAGATGAGCGCTATAACGAGCAGCCGAATAGTAGTAGTGAGATTTTAAATTGATTTATCAGACAGGGAAATATAGAAAAATAATCCCAACACTGCTCAGCCAAATTATAACGAAACACCACCACTACCGACTAGCTCACCAAAATATAGAGGGAGTATGGTTGCTGAACCAACTGTATTTTTAAAAGATAGGAACTGGGAACCACTGGAACTGAGAGACTTAAAATGATTCTTCAAAAGATTTCCGCTGCCACCATATTAATAATAAACAGGCTGAGGTATTATTGAGAGGTTGTTCAGTAACACACTCTGTGTCACTATAGTTTTCTTAAAGGCTGTTAAAAGCTGACTTGAATAATGCTTTGACCACAAAGGTATTCACACTGAGGTTGGTATAAGTTGATAAAAATAACAAGAACGTTTATTGAACAGGCTTGAAATATTCAGGTACAAATGCTTAATGGTTTCAGTAAAATACTGGCATAAAAAGCTTGTGGTTGCATGAGAGTCAAGATCTTAAAACTTCTGGGTTGCAAATCTTAAAAAAGTTCCACTACAGAAAATTACTTCAGGAAATGAATCTCTGAAAGTAACTCCCAAAAATCCACCTTAGGAATCTAGCCAAAGACCCTGAACTAGACTTCCTTAGGAATTGAACAGACCACTAACAGGGTACTGCTCCAGAGTCTGACACAACTGGATTTAATGTCAGGGGAAATCCTTTACCTTTACCCTACCAGGGACGTACGTCTCTGCGGACACATTCCCCTCTGATCCCAGTTCTACCTTACATTGTGTGTGATCGCCACACATAGCAGCCTGATCCTACTTTAACTGCCTTAACTCCATTCTGTGAAAACATGAGACTTTTAGTTTTGTGAAGCACCAATTCTCTAGATTATCTTCTTAAATTCAAGTTCTTGGAGAAAATATTATGGTATTTAATGAAACTCTGAATCTCGGGTTTCCACAAGAAAGGGCCAGGGAAATTTCTGTAGTATCCAACTACTGCAGTGTTCACTTACATGCCGTTCTTAATACTTCACTTTGTCTTAAGCCAGTGTTTCTCTACCTGGGGGTCGGGACCCCTGTGGGTAGTTGCGAGGGGGTGTCAGAGGGGTCGCCAAAGACCAGCAGAAAACATAATATTTTCTGTTGGTCATGGCGGTTCTGTGTGGGAAGTTTGGTCCAATTCTATCATTGGTGGGGTTCAGAATGCTATTTCATTGTAAAGGTAAAGGTAGTCCCCTGAAATTAAGTCCAGTCATGTCTGACTCTGGGGTGTGGTGCTCATCTCCATTTCTAAGCCGAAGAGCCAGCGTTGTCCGTAGACACCTCCAAGGTCATGTGGCCAGCATGACTGCATGGAGCGCCGTTACCTTCCTGTCGGAGCGGTACCTATTGATCTACTCACATTTGCATGTTTTCGAACTGCTAGGTTGGCAGAAGCTAGGGCTGACAGCGGAAGCTCACGCGCTCCCCGGAATCGAACCATAAATCCCAAAAACTACAACTCCCAAATGTCAAGGTCTATTTTCCCCAAACTCCACCATTGTTCACATTTGGGCATATTGAGTATTTGTGCCAAGTTTGGTCCAGATCCACCATTGTTTGAGTCCACAGTGATCAATGGTCAATGTCCACCAGACCCTCCCAGTATTTTCTCCTGGTCATGGGAATTCTGTGTGTCAAGTCTGATTCAATTCCATTGTTGGTGGAGTTCAGAAGGCTCTTTGATTTTAGGTGAACTATAAATCCCAGCAACTCAAACATTGCCAAATGACAAAATCAATCACCCCCAACCCCACCAGTATTCAAATTTGGGCATATCGGGTGTTTGGGATTTGAAAATACATCCTGCATATCAGATATTTACATTACGATTCATAACAGTAGCAAAATTATGAAGTAGCAACAAAAATAATGTTATGGTTGGGGGTCACCACAACATGAGGAACTCTATTAAGGGGTCACAGCATTAGGAAGGTTGAGAAACACTGTCTTAAGCTATACCACTAACCAGACACAAAACCTACTTCAGTGGAGCATGCTAAAGCTAATCAGCATACCCTCCTTCTTTGTATAACTTCTGTAAACTTTGAAGGATCTGCATAGTTTATCTACAATTTGCTGGTCTGGGGTAACACAGTTGTGCAAGGCAATAACCCCCTCCTCAAACCTTTGGAAATCTTTTTCAGGCATGCGTTACGCATGCACTTCCAACCACAGTTTAGAAGCATGAAATAAAAGCTGACATTTTGCAATAATTTTGTGGAGTCATCCTAGCACTACTTTCATCCTGCTGCTATACTGCAGAATTCGGCAAAGTGCAAACGAGGTCACCACTTTCAATTTTTGGATATGTAAATTGATAAATAATGCACAAAAATAAATAAAACCCAAACCCACCTTTTCCTAAGCCAAATAGATGTATATATGTAGATCTTCTTGAGAGAAAAGTTATTAATATACCATGCCTCTGTGAACAGAAGCTAATCTCCTGCAGTGCTGCAGTCCTATTGTAAACTTAGGAATGTGGCTTTAGCTTGTGAATGCAGCAACACTAAAACAGTTGAGCACTTGCTGAATGCTCTGGCTTGTTCCCAATGCAAATCCCTTGCATTGATTACAGATATTACTGGAAAGGAGGCGCTGCAGTGGTGCAATGGGTTAAAACCTTGCGCTGGCTGAACTCTTGACCTGAAGGTCAGCCATTCAAATCAGAGAGATGGGGCGAGCTCCCGTCTGTCAGCTCCAACTTCTCAGGAGGGGACATGAGAGAAGCCTCCCACAGGATGGTAACACATTTGGGCATCCCCTGGGCAACGTCTCTGCAGACAGCCAATTCTCTCACACCAGAAGCAACTTGCAGTTTCTCAAGTTGCCTCTGACACGATACAAGAAAGGAAACAGTCCTCTGATCACATGGATACCCCCCCCCCAAAAAAAAACACACACACACACACTCTTATTCTAATAACAAAACTCATGTAGTTACTTACTTAGGCGATCCCTCATTGGTCGAGTAGGTCGAGTCTTCCAGGATCAGTGTTCTGGTGGGTCCATAGGTGGCTGTGGAGCCCTATTCTTGATCTGCATCTTCTCCCACAGTGAGGGCATTGGTTTCCAGGTAGAAGGCGGTCTCGGTTGGGGTTGGCTTGATGCGCCTTCCTCTTCCTCAGTGGTTTTTGAGTTATGGTAATCCCACAAATGAACATTATATTTTTATTTATATAGACTAGCTGTCCCTGCCACACGTCGTTGTGGCCCTGTGTGTATATGTGTTTTGTGTGTGTATATGTGTATATATGTAGTTTTGTGCATTTGTTGTAATGTTTTTTTTTTAATTTCTTGGCTTTTTAAGTCTCTTCCATTGTGTTTTTAAATGTTTTTATGAGTGATTAGCTGTCCCCGCCACTCGTTGCTGTGGCCCAATCTGTGTATATATGTTTTGTGTATGTATATATGTGTATATCTGTGTGTATATGTGTGGTTTTATGTTTTTTTTATTGGCTTTTTAAGTCTCTTCTGCTGTGTTTTTCAGTATTTTTATGAGTGATGGTCACTCGTCGGCATGATAGTTGTATTGTGTACATTCGCCCAATGGTTTTAGAGTAATGTTAATCCCACAAACGAACATTACATTTTTATTTATATAAATCAGAGGTCCTCGAACTTTTTAAACAGAGGGCCAGGTCACAGTTCCTCAAACTGTTGGGAGGGTTGAAAAAACATGAATGAATTCCTATGCACACTGCACGTATTTATAGTACGAAAAGCACTTAAAAATACATTAATTAGAATGAAGACCAATTTTAGCAAATATAAATTTATTAGTATTTCAATGGGAAGTGTGAGCCTGCTTTTGGCTGATGAGATAGGGTTGTTGTTGTTGCGTGCTTTCAAGTCGTTACATAGGTTGACCCGGGGAGCCCCCGGTGGTGCAGTGGGTTAAACCCCTGTGCCGGCAGGACTGAAGACCGACAGGTCGCAGGTTCGAATCTGGGGAAGAGGCGGATGAGCTCCCTCTATCAGCTCCTCATGCGGGGACATGAGAGAAGCCTCCCACAAGGATGATAAAAACATAAAATCATCCAGGCGTCCCCTGGGCAACGTCCTTGCAGACGGCCAATTCTCTCACACCAGAAGCGACTTGCAGTTTCTCAAGTCGCTCCTGACACGAAAAAAACCCAAAATAAACCCGGGTAAATGACCTTGGAGGGCCGCATTCGGCCCCCGGGCCATAGTTTGAGCACCCCTGATATAGATGGTCACTCGTTGGCCTGAAAGGTGTATTATGTCCAAATTTGGTGCCAATTCATCCAATGGTTTTTGAGTTATGTTAATCCCACAAACGAACATTACATTTTTATTGATATAGATAGCACATACTATGACTTCCACCCATATTTAGAGAAAAACATTTGTATTTTTTCTGCCTTCCAAAACTGCATTTCCTGAACCCTTGTAAAGCTTTTCAAATGACAATCCCCAGAATCCCCCATCCAGCATGACCAATGGGATGTAGAAAAAAAGGGAACCTTTTCTTAGTTGACAGTAGTAGCAAAACTCAGCAGGACAACTTGATATGGTAGAAGTGTATTTATTATAACCCAAATCTTTTGCTTTTTATAGGTTTTGCCCTACAACCCAAGGAGTTAAAGGTCTCTGGCTGGAATTTCTTCCTCTCCAATCAATCATTAAAGCTAGACTTGCTCTCCCAGAGTCATAAAAAGAGACAATTCTTCAGTTATCTGCACAATTGAAGGGGAAAATCTCTTTTGGCAGGGCTTCCAGCTGAGTAACCAGGGCACCTCTCTTTCAAAGGCCGAGCAGAAACATTTCTTCTGTGATGGAAGAAGCAAACGGGACGATAGGCCTGAAGGCCGTAGTTTCCCTCCACTAAATGACAATGAAACAGTATACCCAGATGTGCTGAAATTATAAATGTAATGAGACTGTACTACACCAAACTGTGACATATCCAGTCAAGGCATCATGTGCTGATACCTCTTTTAACAGGGCTAATCTCCATTTTTGTCTATAGGTCTGACAATAGTTTTTAAAGCAAGACAATTACTTTCAAAGCTAGATGGAAGAATCTTCCTACCTGATAAAGTTACTCTCTACAATAGCTTTCTCACTGGATTGGTGCTTTGTTTACTTAATGTGTCTCCAAACGTTCCCTTTGCAAGAAGTCACCGCTGCAGCTGTTCAGCCCTTTCTGGATGAGCCTCCATTTGAAGAACTAGAGACATTCAAGAAAAAGCTGCAATATGAATGGGAATGAGGCTTTCTTTAGCAATCTGCTGCATTGTTTGCAAGTCATACCTGAGATGAGCCTCACTGAATGACACTTTTATTTACACAGCGCTTTTGATGTTAACCAATTAAATAAAATGTTTTTATTGAAAACAACATTGGGTTTTGCATAGGGCATGAATTTACTAGTTGTTGTGGTGATGCAGAAGTATATAAACAGACCATGTGGGAGAACAGACTTTCCTGAGGTAGAATCATCAAAGCAAAGAGTCAGAAGAGACCCAAGGGCCAACCTCCTGCCATGCAGGAAGATAAAAGAAAGTCCCAGTGCCAATCTTTTCTTCTGCACCATTCAATCAGCACTATTCTGCTAGTCATCCGACAAGCTGAAATTCATAGCTGCTGTCAGTGTTGCCGAGAGCTTGGTAGCAATCTTTTCTGCAGAGAATGGGAAGAGAAAGGAGGGTTAGGTGGCCAAAGAGCATGTGCAAGCAAATCTATATGCCTCCAAAATGTGCTGATGAGTGGAATGAATGTCTTTTCTCTTCTCTAGCCAGCTCTTTCTTACACCTGCAGTGAATTTTTTTTTTCGTGTCAGGAGCAACTTGAGAAACTGCAAGTCACTTCTGGTGTGAGAGCATTGGACGTCTGCAAGGACATTACCCATGGGACGTCCGGATGTGTTGATGTTTTACCATCCTTCTGGGAGGCTTCTCTCATGGTCCTGCATAGGGAGCTGGAGTTGATATAGTAATATTTATTTATTTATTTATTTAAAACATTTATATTCCGCCCTTCTCACCCCGAAGGGGACTCAGAGTGGAACACAGCATATACACGGCAAACATTCAGTGCCTGGATACAATACATAAACATTAAAAAACATTTATTGAAATATTAAAATACACCATTTAAAACCATCCTAGCCATCCGCATCAAATCCAATTGGCCTGGTCATCTTTCCCATTGCCGCTTTATTGCCCTGTCCCAAAAGCTTGGCCCCACAGCCAAGTTTTTACCATCCTTCTAAAGGACAAGAGGGAGCGGGCCGACCTGATCTCACCAGAAAGGGAGTTCCATAGCCGGGGAGCAATCACCAAGAAGGCCCTGTCTCTCATCCCCATCAATCGTGCCTGTGACAATGGCAGGATGGAAAGCAGGGCCTCCCCGGAGGATCTTAATCTCCATGATGGTTCATAGGGGGCCGTTTAGGGCTTTATAGGCCAAAGCCAGCACTTTGAATTGTGCCCGGTAGCAAACTGGCAGCCAGTGGAGCTGGCGTAACATGGGAGTTGTATGCTCCCTGTATGCCGCCCCAGTTATTAACCTGGCTGCCTCTCGTTGGACTATTTGAAGCTTCTGAGCAGTCTTCAAAGGCAACCCCACGTAGAGTGTGTTGCAGTAGTCTATTCTAGATGTAATGAGAGCGTGGACCACCGTGGCCAAGTCTGACTTCCCAAGGTACGGGCGCAGCTGGCACACAAGTGCCTTTCCAGAATAGGAAACTCCAGCAATATGTCCCAGAAGCACTTTATCAGAGATTTAAGATTGTCTGCACATTGCACTTACCCTAAATCCTACATTTCACCTAAAATCCAACACATATGACGAACATTCAATGCCAACAAAGAGACATATTAGCAAATCACATCAAAACAAAACACTTTAGCCAAATATATGAGCTTTGGATAGCACAGGGAAGGACTAACACCCTTGTGGTGTTTGTTTTGCTGTCTGTATCCCTGTTCAGAAGATTCCACCTCACTTTCTGTCTCTGCGAGAATTGGATTTTGAACATTTTGGCTTGTTCTGGAAACAAGGATCGGTGAGAAAGCTTCAGTGGAGACACCTTGGAGGTAGATTTCTCTCACTTCCTGTTGGCTCACCCCCAACCTTAACTAGGAGTTGTTTGTAAGTCGGATGTTTATTATAATGCACTGCAATATGATAATGACAATAATATGATATTATAATTATATATTTACATTACTTGTAATATTACTAATAATATTACGATTTTTTTTTTGGTCGTGTCAGGAGCAACTTGAGAAACTGCA